TCTGCTCTCTCTCTGCATTGCCCATTAAGTAGCTTCCTATTAAGTAGTATCCTATTCTGTCAACCCCTTCTCTGATTCTTCACTTTTTCTGCTGCTCAATTAGACATCACTTTCAAACATGGGTGCTTCTTTCTACAAACTAACCTTACCTTCATTGTTTGGAACTAAAGGGTGTATTTATTTATTTATTACCTGAAACTTGCTCCATAGCAGGCTGGCCTTGAACTCAGATCTAATCTTACGGGCCCCAAGATAGCCAGTCTGGAAAAAGAAGATCAAAGTTGGAAAACTTACTGCAGCATAGTCAAGATGGCGTGGCTCTGATGTAAGAATAACCGAAAGGCTCAAAGAGAAAGACGCCTCCTGTTTATGGTCACTTGACTTTTGACAGGGGCACCAAGACTGATCAGTGGCATGTATATGTATATGTATATGTATATGTATATGTATATGTATATGTATATGTATATGTATATGTATATGTATATGTATATGTATATGTATATGTATATGTATATGTATATGTATATGTATGCATATTTTTTCAGCAAATGGTGCCAAAACAACCAAACACACACGTGAGAGAATTCCACTGGACAGCTGTTTGATCTCATATGTAAAATTACAAAGGGGCAGTAGCTGTAGCTGAGGAATCTAAAATCCTAGATGTCCTGGTTTAGGCAGTGGCTTATACATGATGACAAAAATACAGAGACAAAAGGAAAGAAAAAAAAAAAAGCGGATTGAACCACAGAGTAATACTAGTGTCGTAAGCACTGAGAAAGTGAAGTGATAACCTCAGCTAGGAAAAGGACTTTGTAAATTATGTGTTTAATAAAGGACTCGTGTCCAGAAACACAGTGATAAAAAGATACATCACCCAGTTTGAAACTGGCACCCATTCACTGCACCACTCAGCACTTTTCCTTGGGTCACACTCAAGAGAGGTTGACAGTGTTGGCCACTTTCAGCACCCAGCCTCTTAAAGTCACTTAGCCATCAGCAGAGCCTTCGTGTTGGTCTACTGATGGCCCACAGTGAGTGCTTGTCACTGTGCAAAGGGCTGGCAAGTCCCTGAAAAGATACTTGGTGTTGAAAGTCATTCAAAACCGCCCATCAAATCCAGGGAGAGGTAGGACCTCATGCCCACCTGGCTGTGTAGCAAGAAACAACTAGAAGCAAATGCTGGCTGTGGAGAAACCATAGTCCTCACTCATTGCTGATGGGAATTTAAGGCGGGACAGTGCTCTGGAAGACTCTGTAGCCTGTCCTCAAAGCGTTAAGCATCAGTTACTGCAGGACTCGGCAGCTCTTGGAGCATACCCAAGAGAAATGAAAATATAAATTCTGTATTATCCACAACAGTAAAAGAAGTAGAGACAAGGCCTGTGTCCGTCAGCAGGTGAAAGAGTCAACAATATGTGGTCTGCCGTACGGTGGACTGTAATTCAGCAAAAAGAAATGAAGTGAGTCTGTCCGTGCTACCAGCAGTGCACCCTGGAAAAAAGCTGGGCGCAAGCCCCATGCAGTTTTGTGATTCATCTTGTGTGATGTCTCCCGGACAGGCAGTTATTGCTTGTCCAGAGAATGGACAGCTTTAAGGCCATCTCGGGGATGTGGTTCCTGATATTCAAGACAAGGGTGAGGAAAATGTCAGCTGAGAACATTTGCCGTGATGCTATGGATGTAATAAGGTTCTTAGCTGGACGCCTGATGACATGCTCCGGGGTGCTGTTCCTTCTGGGGACCTTTTTGAGGTTGCTTTCCCGACTGTGGCCTTGGTCTGTTTCTTTCACATCCGTCTCTGTTCGTGTTTGGTCCTTTTTCTCTCCGCTCAATGTCTGCCCCGTCTTCTGAGGGACAGCTGGGTTCATAAACCAGTGGATTCACTCTTTCTTTGTTTCCTGAGCAAATTCCTGGCATTCTCCTGCCAGTTGTTTTTAATCCTTTGATGTCACCTTTAACATGAACACACTTATTTTCAATTTTCTCCTTTTTTTCCCCCCCATACAAATTCTTTTTCTCCATCATGTAAAAAACAAACAAACAAACAAACAAAACCAAAAAAAAAACATTCCGGTGTAGCAGAGAAAATGTTGGCTAGTATCATCTCTACAAGGACCTGTGGGCACACATGCAAAGCTGTTCTTAGTACCTAGTACTCTTCCACTCTGTGGCCTTGCTCAGATTGTTTTAAGTATTGCATTATTGTCATTTGTATGACTCTGAGCATGTGTGAACATGTGTGCGTGTGCAGGTCTCAGGGTGACCTGCAGACAGCTGGGAGCATGGGAGTGCAGGTGAGCATGTGTGAGCATTCGTAAGGGTGTACAAGTGCCCGTGAGCCTGTGTGTGAGAGAGCGTGTGCGAGCAGACCTGCCACAGCATGCGTGTGGGGGTCAGAGGATGCCCTTGTAAATTCAGGTCTCTCCTTCCTTTGTTATGTGGGGTCACATTTAGGTCACGAAGCCTGTGCAGTACGTGCTTTTGCTGAGCCACCTTGCAGGCTCCTGGCCTGCAGCTGTGACCCCGTGGCCTTCTCTGTGTAAAGGAGGCGGCCCCTGCTACCCAGGGCTGTCAGCCTCGGCAGCGTCACGCAGGCCAGAAAATCATTGAGGACTTGGTATCTTGTCTGGACATCTTCATCCTCCTCCACCAGACACTGTCGTGTCTGACGCTGTGTCTTCCTTGTGTAGAATTGTGTTGATTTCTGAGGAGCTTCTCTGCCATCAGTCTCCTCGGTGGCTACGTAGTTTCCTAATGACCCCTGCTCTTACCTTTCTTTTCTTAGAGTCTGTTCTTTCCACACCTGTTCCTGTGACCCATATGTAACACTGAAAGTTTAAAGCACATCGTAAAAACCTAGATTCTGGGCCAGGAATAAACTCAGTGGCTGAGAGACCTCATTGCCCAGAGGACAGGAGTTGGTTCCCAGAAGCCATGTTGGCGGCTCATGGCTGCCTGTGGATCCAGGTTAACATGACTGCAGCCATTCAACTACAGTCTTTAACTGCTGTCTTGTGTGCCCGGTAATCTGGGTAGGCATTCTATACCCAATAGGATAAACAGCAGCCTGAGTGTCACCTAGTGGATTCTTCCTGTGTATGAGTTCTTTTAAAGGCCATGTCTACTCCAGTTGGCTGCAGTCACCCTTGTCCAGCTTAACCTATGGACCCCTACTCCTGCCTCCTTGACTGGCCAGACCTGCCCCAAGGACCTGGAAAGCTACCTCTGCATAGTGCTATGTTTGTTTATCTGTCTTCAGTTCGAAGCAATGTCCACATCATATCTTCTACGCTGGGCTAAACAAAACAAGATGTCTGCAAGGTCTCGCTTGCCCTGCAGCTCTAGGAATCTGTTCCTTGACTGCTGCGGCTGGTGGCTACCAGCGCTCCTGGGCCTGTGGCCACAACCTTCCCTTTTTGCCTTCGGTCACATGCCTCCCCTCCTAAGGGTGCAGGTGACAATCTCCCTGACCTCTTCATTTAATTAATCTGCACACACGGTCCTCGAGAAAGCTTACTTTGGAGGTAATCAGGGCAGAATTTGAGTGCTGGATCCTTGACCAAGTGTTTTGAAAACAGAACAACATGTACCAGAGGCCTGGGAAACATCAAGAGCTACCGCGTGCTGTCAGTGCTATTTCTGGGCTTCCATCTTCCTCTTGTGACATCAGAGTCTTACTTTAACCATGTCATCGGTTAACAACACGCTGGTTGGGTGCCCTTCCGTCCTCTGCAGGCCAGTGTAGCTTTGCACTGTCAGGCACTGGACACACGGCTGGAGATAGCTTGGTTGCAGTGGGCCACTCAGAAATACCCCGTGTGTGAGTGCCAAGTGTCCTTAACCCAGCAAGCCAGAGACGCAGGAAGTGGGGTACCCAATGCTGAGGCTCCTCTGTAGAGAAATACGCTGGAGAGCGCAGAGAGGATGCTGGTCCTGAGGGAGCAGTTGGAGACTGGCATAAAGAGTGCTTCAGGGCCTGCGCTCACGCACACATTCGCTTGCCCTCACCTGCACATGCACCCAGACACTCGCCTTCACACTTGCAAACATACGATTCACAGAGTTGGAGTCTTCTGTCTGGTCTGTGTATGTGTACTATAAGCATCTCATTTCCCCCATAGGAGTTTGGTCACAAGTCTGTGAGCTCCTCTCCAATGCAGGGTGCGTCCTTTAAGCACAGGAGGCGTGCCTAGGTGAAAGGCCTCTTGGCAGCTCCCTTGACAGCATTCATTGAGGGTTTGAAGGCTGTAGTTTGAGTCTTTCTGACAACAGAACGGTGTGTCACACACAGGCAGTCATCTTTCAGGCCACAGCTTCACAGTTCCTGAGTAACAGGCTGTCCTGCAGATCACCTCTCAGGCTCATCCCAGCCCCAGTGACCCTGAGGCTTTCTGCAGACCCTCTTCCAGGACCCTCCCTGCTGCTCCTGCCTCTGCCTTGCAGGGAAGAGTGTTAGGAGGCAGGAGAGGGTGGGCACAGAGGAGGAGGGCTGGGCGAGAAGTCACTGCTGCTGATGCGGGGCAGAGGTGTGTCCAGCTGGGAAGGGCCCTGCAGGGCCAGCACCCACAGAGCAGCAGTGTGGGCTCCCTGGGAGGAGGCTTTGTGTTAGGTGCCTGGTACTGAACAGCCTTCAATGCCTCTTTAAGGAGTCTGGAGTTTTTCTGATTCTGCTGATGTTTTTCTTCTCAAGTCCTTATAGTACAAAGTTAGAAGATGTACACGAGGATGTATTCCAAGCCCCTCAGTGAAACCACAGAGATCCTAATGTTATAGGTTTTTCTATGCATACTTACCACAATTTATGCATCCTTGCCACCATTTAATGTCTAAGTTAAGCAAAGAACATCAATAGTAGTGATTGAGAAAAAAAAAAAAAGAACAACAGTAAGACAGAACCCGTTCAGCCATGAGGGCAGGGAAAAGCTGGTGTTGCTTTACGATGGCAAGGCTAATGTCAGGTCATAGCCAGTCACCCGCTTTTCTTTTCTCCGTAGTGTCAAATCAACAGTGCCTTGACGTCCTTCCACACTGCTCTGGAACTGGCCGTCGACCAGAGGGAGATCCAGCATGTCTGTCTGTACGAGATCGGTGAGTATGAGAGTCCATCCAGCCTGTCTGATGGGTGAATTTTCTTGATTAATGATTGACGTGGGTAGGCCCATCCCTCTGTGGACAGCGCCACCCCAGGGCAGGAAGCGGGCTGGTAAGAGTGTTCCCCACAGCCTCTGTTCCAGTTCCTGGTCATCCTCAGCCATGGGCTGTGGTAGGGACCTGTAAGCCAAATAAACCCTCTCCCCCGCCAAGTTGTTTGGGGTCAAACAGTGTGTTGTGTCCCAGGAACAGAAAGCAAACTAAGGCACAGTTCTTCCCTCTGTAGCGACAGCAGGGTCACATGCAGATGGACCTGGTACCTGGCAAGCGGAAGGCTTTTCCCTGTCAACTGTTCTGGCCTCTGCTTCCTGGAGATACATGGGGTCAGGGACGCAGGGACGTACGTCTGCCTAGGGTTCCCTTCCTCTCCTGAGGAGTTGCTGAGAGCTGCCTGCACTCACCTCTGACCTTAGCACGTAGAGATTTCTGAGTCCTTTACTTCCCATTGGGCTGGGAAGAATAAATACAACTTTGGGCTGGAAATATTTCTTTCTTTCTTTTTTTTGAAATATTTCTTAAACATAATGCTGTTTGGGGGGATTTGCCCAATATAGCAAGGTTTTGGGCCAGCATGGCACAGATGAGAAATGAAGGGCAGACAAAGCAGAAAAGATAATAGAGCGTTGGGAACGGAACGTGAGTTGGATTTACAGCTGGGGACGGGGGTGATGAGGAAGCAGAGGACAGACAGGAGGCTCCCGGGCCACTCCCCTCCTGTGGGCACACAAAGAAAAGCACAAGAGAAAAGACTGGGGATTGTCCAACAAGTGATACTGCATTGCGGTGCCTGTGACGGTTCAGTGAGAGGAGAAATGTATTTCTGCGTGTTCCCAACTCTCCTGGAGGTCTGTGTGGTGGCTGTGACGCTGAGTGAGGGTTCAAAGAATGTGCATTTCAAAGCCTAGGCTGGACAGTGGTTTCTACTTCACCATCTCAAGGTGAGTGGCCAGGGAGAACTAGGAGCCGGAGGGTCCAAGCCTCAGTGATTGGAGAAAGTCGGGCAGACCTGGGAGTAAGCGAATCCGTGACTGAGGAAGGCGGATCGGGTCAGTGGGGACCCAGAGGCCGCCTTGCTGATGGTTGCCTTCTGCCCTCTTTTTCAGTTTAATTCAGATCTTATACCGATATCTTACAGAGTGAGCGATGTTGCCTCATACTCTCAGACTGTGCCTTGTTCGATGAGACTGTCTTTTCTGGACTGCACAGCTACCTCCACTAGTTCCAATGACAAGTCTAGGGTGACACAACTTCTTAGCGACACGCCTGATCTAAGAATATTCTTTTGTTGTGGTGGTTGTCGTCTGCCTGTTTAGTTTGGTTTCTGTTTTCTAGCCCCACAACCCTGCCTCCGTCTCCAACGTGCTGAGAGTCCAAGCCTGGATCTAAGTTTCTTTCCATAGAGGCAAAATTATATGGATGAAAGAGTGATGGGCCCCTGCCCACAATCCTTCCCTCTGTGGGCTTGAGAAGCCACTGGCCCCTTGAAACCCCCTTTCGGACACCAGCACACCACAAGCCACTTGTGCAGGGCTGGAAACAGGACCAGCACATACCGTAGCACAGGCTGGTGTGCGCACACACACGAGGGCTCGGGCGACGGAAGGGCAGTCAGTAACCATGGGAATAAAGCACTGCCGCCCACCAGAACACATCGGGTTTGGATGGAGAGGAGCCTGCGCCGGGTGAGAGTGCAGTAAGAGTTCCTCCTTCTGGAGAGTGCTCTCCAGTGAGTGCTCCTCAATGACAGGTGCCAGGTGTCTTTCTGAGTCGCCTCTACCCTGCCCCTTCCTGCCTCTGCTGCCCCTGCAACCGAGAGCAGGCTGGAGTCTGTCTAGAAATCACATCTTCCTCTTCCATACATCTCCATGGGTTTGTCTTAGAGTCTACACAGGAAGTATTTAGGGGGAACAATGACTCCTTCAACATTTTCAAGTTCAAAGTTTTGAGCACTTCCAAGAACACTCAGAGAGAAGGGTTTCAGGCAGCACGGTTAGAAATTCACGGCTTACCTGTAGGCCATGGAGTTCCTACTTCAGGATGGTGTACTGAGCTCAGTACCCTAGTGCAGTTGCACTGAGCTCAGTACCCTCCTGCAGGGGTACTGAGCTCACCGGCTTGGGCTGTGGGTGCCTTGCCCCTGCCTTCGAGCGCTGTGCCAGGCTCACTGTCTGGGGTAGCACACTAACTACGCTCCTCTTGCAGGCTGGTGCAGCATGATTGAACTCAACTTCAAGGATGCGTTTGGTTCCTTTGAGAGGCTGAAAAACGAGTCCAGGTGGTCACAGTGCTATTACGCGTATCTGACTGCAGGTGAGTTTGTCCCGTGTGGCCAGTCAGCCCCACATCCTGGCAGGTGGGGATGGAGGGGAGGAAGCAGGACGTCCCTCCTCCAGTTTCTCCCTCCTTGATGTTTGCCGCAGCTGATACTGTGTACAGGGGCGGCTTCTTCTCGTCCCCATCTGATTAAAGAATTGAAAGGTAGGAGCAAAGTGTTACGAGGACTCTTAGGGGGGCCTCGTGGAGCCACCGTATCACACCCAGAAAATCTGGATCTTTTCCTGGGGTTCTTCGTAAAAGGACTTAAGCAGAGGGCCAAACAGAGTTTGAGGATAATTTATTTAAAACCCAAGGGCAGGCAGGCAAGCTCGGCTTCTGCCAGATGCCTGGGAGGGTGGGAGAGAGAAGGGGAAAAGCCACGCTGCTTGAGAGCCGTTGGCGCAGAGGCTGGACCCAGCGATGAGCAGCCACTGGTGAGGAGGGGACCTCAGAATAAAAGGAGGTCCAAACTGCAGAGCTTCAAAGCTCCCCTGGTGTCTCCAGCATCTGAAGGGAAGTGACCCAGGAGGAGAAAGGGATCACTAAGCCCTTACTTGCCCGTGCTTTTTCTTCGTGGTGTTTATTTAAAATGTTCTTTTTTTGATTTATTTACGTATTTTATGTATGAGTGGACTGTCTTCATGCACACCAGAAGAGGGGATCAGATTCCATCACAGATGGTTATGAGCCACGTGGTTCCTGGGAATTGAACCCAGGACCTCTGGAAGAGCTGTCAGTGCTCTTAACCTCTGAGCCATCTCTCTAGCCCTGGTGTTTTTATCTTCCGGTTTTTCAGAGTCAGACACGTCTTTTCATGAAGTGGGTAGTTTTAGGTTGGGGCTGTGCTCACAGCGTTCCATGGAGCCTGAGTTTGCTCTGCCCCCCATACCAAGACAACCAAGTCACATTCCCAGGGTGATGTCATGGAGCTCAGGGCACCCTCATGCCGTGACCGCGGTGTGCGGCTTTGGGTTTTGAAGCTCTTAGATGGCATAGTTGGTGGTGTGCTGCCACCTGGTGGACAAAGCTGTTGTCTGTCTCTGAGCCACAAAATGTTCCCTGTGGTTTAGGGGATTATGGGATTTTAGGGGATTTTAGGATTCTAGAGGGGCAGAACTGAAGAGACAGGGAGGGGATCCGTGCCTCTCTTCCCTCTAACCCGAATGTCATTGGGTTTGCTCCCCATAGGCAACCTCAGAAGTTACTCTTTTACCTAAAATTCAAGAGTAACGCAAACATTTGTCTTGGTGCTGGGAATCGAACCCAGGACCTTGCTGTGCTCCCACCCTGAACTATGTTCAGGTACCACCAAGTACCGCAGACATTATTGGAAACACCCCCATATTCCTTAGTGTTCAATCCCAACCCCTTCACTCATCTAACTAAAATAAGGCAGCCTCTGCCTCAGTCAGGCCTTGTGTCCTGAGTGTCTTACAGATCTGTGTAAAATCCCACCAGAGAGCGGCCAGTGAAACTGCGTCAACTTCTGTGGGAGCGCCTTTCTGGGCCTTCGGTTTGGCGCTCATTATTTCTGATATGTGGGTTGGAATGTTAGGTCTCACACTTGGAGAGTTATTTTATAGACTTTGCCAACATCATGGCTAAAACCAAGAGCTGCTTGTTGGTAGGCATTGGCGTGCCCAGCACTTTGAGGAGTAAGTGATCCCCAATTGCCTGGAGGGATGGGTGCAAGAGGGCCAGTGGTTGGCAGCTGTGGCTGGGTCTTGTCCAGATGGTGGTGGGCAGATTTTCTGTGTTGTTTTTGTTGGGCATAGGAGAAATGAATGTGTGAGCTCGCTCTATGACCAAACATTTACACCCCGAATATATGGAAATGCCAGACCACTCAGTAGTTCTGTGAGCAAAGGGTTCTCATCTCCATCTCTGCTGTGTCAACATCCCCTGTTCGTTCACGTGAGGAAAGGAGCGCTTGGTCCCCGCAGTCAAGGGAGGCGCCTCGCAGGGCTGTGTTTGAGTTGGCCATGAAGGAAAGTGCGGCTGACCAAAAGAGACAGGTGTCCTGCACCTAGGCTTCGGCTCCCTGTCTTGTGTTCTCTAGTGATGCAAAATACATAGCACGAGCCCTGCTGTTTCCAGCCTCCGCCATTGTGCCTCAGTGTTGCTCCCACTGCCAGCATCATCCGTCCCAGGACTTCCTCATGGCTCCACATCAGAAGTCTAAGCGCTCGCCTTGCCGCCTCCTCCAGCTCGAGGTCACCTCTGTTCTACTCTACCCCGGCATTCAGCCGCCCCATTGCCACAGACTGACCCAGCCGGGGTCCCACACCCATGGGAAATCAGAGGTTTGGATATCAGGAAGGCACGATTTCGGCAAATGACAGTCAGAGACGACACCGAGATAGCTTTGACTCTGCTGCAATTTTACTGAAGTCAAGCTAATATTTTTATAGCAATTACATAAGGAAACACCTTAAAGTTGGCATATTTCCCAGAACATTTAGACTTTTACCAAGAATACAAAGTTTACATTTTAACATCGAGCAGTGCCCACAAGGAATCTTGGCCTGAGAACTTTTGATCAAAGCAGACAAAGGAAAAGAAACCTCAAACTGCAGTTTCATTATTGCTAACTAGTGAAGAAGAAAGTCAGGGGCTAAGTCAGATGCCTGCCAAAATCTTTCTCTGCGTCAGAGTCTAAATACAGCTTTGTTAACCATCCTCCCATATGTCTTGCTAAAGATTTACAATCTTCCTTAGAAATAAGATGTCAAGGGGGACACGCTTGAGCCAGCTGTACTTTCTCATGCTATCTTTTCCTAAAGAGGAGCCCACTATTTTTTCACTATTCTTGTAATGCTTTCTGATACTGAATTTGATTCATTACTTTTAAAATTTTATTTTTCTTCCACTATATTCTTGCTAAAGCTTTTAATAATCTATCAAAGACATGTTTCCTTGAGTAGTTAATTGTGTTGTTTTAAGAATCACAGAGAAAGAACAAAAGGCTCATTAATCCAACCCCGTAACCAAAGAAGCGTAGAAATCTTGGAGTATGTCTTTTTGGCTTAGGTGGCCAGGGGGGACACATGGCCAGTGACCTCCAGGGAGCCTATTCCCGAAGAAAACGTATCTCCCGTCTAGTAGCAGAATCTATTGATAAGCTACACGGACGATGCTGGAGTGGGTGAGGCACCCCGGGCCTCCCATGAGCACACAGAGGCCGGCCACAGGCTCAGTCCTGTCCCACCGTGTCCTGTATGTCTGCCTGCTTGGCTTACCCATTCACCCACCGGTGGACATTTTTTTGGGTGGCTTCCTCCTTTTGACCGTTGCTGGTGTGTTTACTGAGAACACCCGGGTACAAATGTCAACCTGAGCCCTTGCTTTCAGTTTCTTTGAGAACACCTGGAAACAGAGTTGCTGGGTCTGATCCTCTGCTGCTTTTGCAGTGTTTCTGAAAGGTTGAACTTGCATACGAATTATGTCACCGAAAAGAGAGTCACCTAGGGACGGCGTCACTGAAGAACAGCCAGTGCTCTTAGCCTCTGTGCCATCTCTCCAGCCCTAGGTCTCATTCCTCAGTACCAAGTCCCTCCTGCTTTCAAACAGGGGTGGGCTTTTGGAACCTCAAAACCTCTCTCTCCGCCTGTGGTGTAAGAGGGATATCTGGAAGGTTGGAGTCTTCTTCAGGGCCCGTGGCGTTGGTGTTGCGTTGTCTCTGTTCTCATCAAGTGTCTGGTCACTTGTTCTGTTGCTGTGCAGACGCACCATGAACATGGCGACTCTTACGAAAGACAGCATTCAATTGAGGGGCTCGTCTGCCGTTCCAGAGGCTGTCCTAGTGGGAAGTATGGCGGCAGGCAGGCATGGCACTGAGAAGTAGCTGAGAGCTTTACATCCTTACCCACAGGCAGCTGAGTGAGAGACAGAGAGAGAGAGAGAGAGAGAGACCCTGAGACTAGGCCCGGGAAACACCTCCAACAAGGTCACACCTGACCCTTCCGAACAGTTGGTCAGCTGGGGAGCAAGCATTGCAGATACTATGCGGCCCTCTTTCATTCAGCGCACCGCCTCCTCTGAGGCTGAAAGGAGGGTCTTGGGCTGGGAAGGTGACTCATCGGTATGTGCCCACCTCTTTACCGTGCTGGGCGCCGCAGAACACGCCAGGCAGGTGGGCAGAGGGTGCCAGCCCACCCAGCGGGGTCAGTGAAAGACGTGGTCTCAACAAAATCAGGTGGGGCCTAGAGAAGACACCTGGCGCTGGCTTCTGGTCTCCACACGCACTCGTGTGCACACACGAGCATGTACATAGACCTCACGAGGCCAGCGCGATGGCTGCGTGGGTAAGGTGCTTGCTTCAAGCCTGATGACCCTAGTCCAGTCCTCAGAACCCATACGGGGAGGAGAGGCTCCGCCCCTGCGAGTTGTTTTCTGGTGTCACCCAGTCCCCCACCCCGTGCAGTGCCTGCACACACACACACAATAACCGTCATGAAGGTCTGATTGTTCTCCGTGACCTCCAGCTAAGGCAGCAGAAATTCTCCCTTCTCCTTGCTTTACCGGGGCCTCTCGAATAACGGCACCTTCCTGACCCTCTCCGTTCGTTCCTGGGTCCACAGGGAGCCCTTGATGGCAGGCCGTCACGTCCTTCCTGGGGTGCCTACATACCATGCCGGGGTGGGTGAGGCCAGTTTGGATTGGCGCAGATCTCGCCCTGCACTCCAGCTGGGGATGGGTAGTTTCTCCTTTGGAGCCCTCCTACTAGGGAGAATCTCCTGGCACGCCCATCACCCCACCCTCAGCTTTCTCCAGACCTGTGCTCCCCCGTTCCTACATAAGGAAGGCAGAAGTAGCAGGCAGCTTTTACCCCATTCCAAGTACGGAGAGGGAAAGCAACCTAGGGGAAAGGAACGGGCGTAGCTAGGCTCGCTGCTGCCCAGGAGCTGAGGGCACGATGTCCATGAGTGCTGGTCACTTCATTACGGTAGTGGTGCTGACGTTAGACATGAGGTCTGCTGCCGAAGAAAGGGGAAGATGGTTAATCTCCAGGATGGGAGGCAGGGGTCCTGCTGGCTAGCAGCTTTCAACCACCCTGCAAGGTACAGCTCCTCACGGCTTCCCACAATCCAAAGAGAAATGATCCTCTTTTCCCTGAGCACTGTGGGCCTCCTTCCTAAGAGACTGTCACCATAGCACTGCAGGTATCGGACCCCAAGAGGGAGGGAAGAAGGGAGGAAGAGAGGGAGGGGGAGAGATAGATAGATGATAGATAGGTAGATAGGTAGGTAGATAGATAGGTAGATAGGTAGGTAGATAGATAGATGATAGACAGGCAGACAGACAGACAGACAAGACAGTGTTTTCTTACAACCCTGGTGGCTTGCGATGGTAGATGGCCAGTGAGTGTGTATAGACTGCTTCATGACTGCTCTGAGTGCTCCCCTCCCCATACCTTCTTCCCTAGGCCCCTTGTCACTCAGCGCTCTGAAGGTGGGGTCTTCAACAGCTTGCACCCTGTGACAGGAGCCCAGCATCTTTCACGTGATACTCTCTCCTCCCAGTAGAGGGCAGGGACCCAAGTCGTTCCCCAAACTTTGGAAACACAGGCCTGCTGGAATTACTTAATCCTGGGGTGAAGGACTGTGTCAGCAGGATGGCGCCATCTTTTGGATCTAGCTTGTTTGTGTCCTTTCCCTGGAGACCATGGACATGTGCTTCTGATGTCTTGCAGTTTGTCAGGGAGCCGCTGGTGACGTGGATGGGGCGCAGCTCGTCTTTAAGGAAGTCCAGAAGCTGTTCAAAAGGAAGAACAACCAGATCGAACAGTTTTCAGTGAAAAAGGTATGCGTGTGAGAGCTGTCAGTCATGTGCGTGACGAACGGGTGGAACCAGCACTGCCCCAGATAGGCCTTATGCTGGCACAGTCAGTGTGTTTCCCCCTGTGGCCTTGCTGCTGCTCTGAAGGCAAAGGCTGCACAGAAGGAAAGCAGGGTTGGCTTTGCCTTGTAATGAGACGTCCTGGACCCTGGACAGCTCGTGAGTCCTCCTGGAAGGAGGAAGTGTCTGTCTGAGGTGCAGCTCACTGCAGAAGAAGTTGGTGGACCCATGAAAGGGAGATGGCCTGCTCCCAGAATGGCGACAACATCACATTTTGTTGTAATAAAGAACAAAAGCGTCATTATCAGTAGCAATCTCAGGACCGTAGGAGGAATGTCTCAATTTTACTGTCTATTTCTGACACTGAGATATGGCCGAGTAGCCATGAGTGGTGTTCTACCTTGTTATAGCTTGATTTTTTTTTAACCTTAGTTTTATAAATTTTCTCTTACTCCATAAGGTTTTTAAAGTTTAATTAACTTTTATTAAATGAGTAATTCATGAATTCATTCCAGCATAAAATAGATTATAGGGACTGCAGAGACAGCTCGCCTCATAAGAGTCCAGACTGGGCTTGCAGGAAAGGGCCCACGTTTGGTTCCCAGCACCCATGTCAAGCGGGCACAACTGCCTGTAACACTTAAAAAGTAAAATACATCTTTAAAATAAAGAAACAGGTTACAAGGCTGGGGCATAGCTTGGCACTGGAGCACTTGGCCAGCAATGAAAGGCCCTAAGTTTAGTTCTCCTGTTCCAAAACATAAGTAAAATGATATTATAAAATGATAATGCAGCGTGCAGCTGAGACCCTGGGGCTAAGTAGAAGAGGAAGTCCACACAACCACGATGGAGGTGTTCTCTGAGTTAGTCACTCAGCTTGTGTAGCTTCAAGGATTTAAGCTGGAATGCATCCTTTTCATCTGTACATTCTCAGAACACAGATACCCAAGACTTGGCTGAATAATGGATAAGAGACACAGCCATGAATATATTTTAGAAGTAAAACTGCGGGACATTTGTAACGTGGAGAGGCTCTTCATGCTCGGCCTTGTAAGGGAGGGCAGTTCACCCCGACCCTGCACTGTGCTGTGTCTCCAAAGTGCAGCTTGTATTCAGGCTTGCTTTTGAAGCTCATGGCCTAATATTCTGAGAACCCCTTGCAGGCCGAGAGATTTCGGAAGCAGAGCCCAACCAGAGCGCTGTGTGTGCTGGCGTCCATCGAAGTGCTGTACTTGTGGAAAGCCCTTCCCAACTGTTCCTTCCCCAATCTGCAGAGGATGAGTCAAGGTAAAACATGCTCCGTGCAGCCAGCTGATTCACCAGGGCAGCGTCCCCCAGTCCCATGTTTGTGCCGGCTGTCTCAGAGAGTACTCGTCTGTCATGCTGTGGTGGGTGATGTGTTGTCAGAGATAGGGGTCAGACACACCGGTGTAGACACACACATGTGCCCTAGGAGTGCCAGACGACGCTCTTAGTGAAAGGGTGTTAACTGGGCATGACGGTGCATGCCTGTGATCCTCGAATGTGGAAGGTGGAGGCAGGAGGATCAGTAGTTGAAGATGACACTGTGAATTCAAGGACAGTCTGAGCTACATGAGACCCTGTCTCAAAAGACGAAACAAAGCAAAAAGCCGAAAAACAAAAGGATAGTGGTGCCGGTTATACCAACTTAGTGAATGCCATGAGCACATACCGAAAGGTCCTGTTTTCATGTGAAGCATGACCTGCGTACATACATGAAAGGTTTGGGTATGCAAGCATCTGGGACAATATTTGCAGCTTGGTGTCTTAGCAGAGCTTTTTGTACCACCCCTGCATTCCTCTCAGAAGGACCCTTTGAGTCCCACCTCTACAGACACTGTTCTGAGCTCTGTGTCCATAGGTTAGTTTGCCTGTCTTTGACCTGCGTAGAATTATGGGCGGCGCTCTTTTTGGCGCATGGCTTTCTTCGTGAAGCGTCACGTCTGTGGCGTTTGCCGCGCAATAGCCTCTTCTAGCAGATGGTTTCTCCTCCTCGCTGAGCAGTATTCCATTGTGTGGACGCACCAGGACCTCTCTTTGCTTCTCTACTCCTGTGGATGAGCACTTGAGATGTGTTTCAAGCTGCCACAGTGAAGCTGCTAGGAATATGTGGATTGTGTAAATTTATAAGTCTCTTATTCCCAGGGTAAATTCATAGCCATGTAATCAAAAGCCGACATTTTGGACTCATGTAGTTGAAAATATAGGTAATCTTGGCAAAGTCGTTTTTATGATAATGGCAGGAAATTGCCCGGGGAGACCAGCCTGGACCATCACACGGAATGGGCTCTGTTGGTCACTAGGCAAACAATGGAAGCTTGTAAAGCCTTAGTCAGAGACATCCGCACAGCATGGTGTGGTCTAGAAAATCGTTCTCCCCACCCTGCAGCCTTCAGAAGGAGGGGAGGAAGGGAAGACAGTGTTAGCATGCCTGTTGTATGGGGAGGAAGGAGGCTCAGATCCTAGGCCCTGACAGCCACACCATGGCTCACCGCACTCCGGACTAAGTAGCAGACATGTTGCTGAGCGATCCTCCATGCAGCCTTACCTTTCTGGGAACTTCAGAGGCTTAAGTTACACACTGGAAGTTCAGCAACAGGAGAAAGCTCACACCTATAACCCAAGCTCTTCAGGTTGCAGGTTTAAGGCCAGTCTTAGCTACATGCCCTGTGCTGAGCAAACAGACAAGATAGGGCTGCTAAGGCTGCCATGTTCAAATGAAAGCACAGGCCTCCAGAACAGGGTTCCATGGAGTGCATCTCTGGAAAGCTAGTCTTATACGCTGCTCTTTCCCAAAAGAGGTTTACAGGAGGCATTTGGACTTACTCCAGGATTGGTAAGCTAATGCAGAAAGTTCCTCAGAAAGTTCGGTCAGCTACACCTGACCAAATAAGGGATTATTTAGTGAATCACAGATTGTTTTTAGACAGGACTTTCTTGTGGGTGTGTTCTCTCTCTCTTGTGTGTTTGTGTGCGTGTGTGTTTACACATGTGTGCATATGTACTTAGAGGCTAAGAGATGTGCTTGAGCGTCTCACCCCCAGCACCGCGCCTGCCTCCATCCCCCGGTTCTTAGATTACCAGCACATGCCACCATGCTTCACCTTTCTAATGTGGGTTCTGGGGACCGAACAATGGGTCCTTGCAGTTTAATCAAATGAGCTGTCTTCCCAACTGAGCTTTTGTTTATTTCTTTAAAAAATAATCTCTACCTTTAATGGTCAAATGCATTGTTTTGAGTCTCCCTTGGTGCCCAGGGCAGCAATCCAATAACCAAAGTGTCTGTTGCATGGCCTTTGTAGGTGGAAGAATGCAGACTTTGGAAGAGGTTTGAGATTCACAGCAGAATTGGTGACAAAGTCTAGAACCACCCCCCCCCACCAACTTCCTTCACACCTTCTGACCCCTTCACACAACGTCCCATAGCAGTGCGATGCGCTTGTTGGCACAGATGACATAGCATTACACAGTACAGCAACCAAAGCCACAGTGCTCAGAGGTGTGTGGGCTCTTGCCATGCATCCTGGCATTTGAGCGAGTGTCTAATGGCATGGGCTCGCTCACGCAGTACCTATGAAAGGGCTGTGTCTCTGCCCTGAGCGTCCTTCCTCCCCTTCCTGCTCATCCTCCTCCCGGGAACTCTGGTAACCGGTGATACTTTTCTGCCTTCATGCTCTTATCTTTTCTAGAACATCCTGTAGTTGCAAAGGCGCAGTTGAGTCTGGACTTCTGTAAGGCTCATGTTTCTGCCGAGGAGATGACTCAAGCTGCCGAGTGCTTGCCATGCAGGCACGAGGACCTGGGTTTCATCTTCGGGACTCACATAAAAAAGAAATACGGCAGTGGCGCATACTTGTTATCTGCGGCCCTGGGGTACAGACGCAGCCGAGTCCCTGGCCAGCCTAACTACCTTCTGTCTCAGAGAACAAAACCGTGACCGGGGAGTGGCACTGAAGGCTGGTCTCGGCCTCCACACACGTGCACCTGCACACACATGGAAATGTACACATATGAACCCACACACAAAGAAAGGTTGATGCTTTTGCCTTTCTGTGATTAAGGAGCGCCACTAGTGGGTGAACAATGGATACCTTCTGAATTTGGGAGGGGGCGGAAGTATAAACTAAACAGACACGGCTACTGTCCTTGGCGACACTGAGGTTCTGAGTGGGTGTCTTTTCTTCTTTTCACGCCCCTTCTCATCAAGCTTGCCATGAAGTGGACGATCCATCTGTCATCGGATTGAAGCATTTGCTCCTTGGTGCCATACACAAATGTCTAGGAAACTCACAAGATGCTGCTCAGGTAAACATGTTGCCATGGCTACAGTGGAAGAAACGGTGACTCCCTGCGCCTGAGCTTGTGGAGGGGGAGGATGAGGGCAGAGAACAGGAGAACCACCGCCCCCGTGATGGGGCTTTCTGCCCTGTTTAATGCATGGTGACTTTTCAGGTGCTGTGGGGACAATGGGTTATGTGACGTCCTTAATGTAACTACAGATTCTGAGAGCACTCCTTTCTGTGAGGACTGCTCGTGCCGACAGCTCTTTATCAAGGCTGACAGACAGCTGGAGAGAGGTAGAAATGAGGAGTCTTCCATTTGAGGGGGCAGTAAGCCCTCACAGACAAGAACAGAAGCATGACGGGCTTGTCTTCTCTCTCCCCGTTCACTGTCTTCTCTTCGTGCCAATAGATGGCTGCCCAGGGCTGGAGGAGAGCGCTGCGGCCTTAGGCTTACGTTAGAGAGCTGTTCGGCCCTGTGGGGAGAGCACCGGGGCAGACAGCTTGGATGGGATTTTTTTTTTTTTTTTTTCTAGTTCAGTTTCAGGCGGTGGTGAGGTGGAGCGTCATGGAGGAAAAGAGAACCATCAGCTACTTTTTAATTTTAAGGTTTTGTTCACTGTTGTCTTTTGAGCTCAGTGCTAGGATTTGAACTCAGGGCTTCATTCATGTTAGATACACTTCTACCATTGAGCTACCCCTCCAGGCAAGTTAGGTAAAAACAAACAAAACCCTAAAATACGTGGTATTACGTCGGCTTCTTTCTGAAATAGTTCCATATACAGTATAGGAGACTTGGCCTTTCAATCATGGACTATTAATATATTCACGTTGAATTTGAAATTAATCTTTCAATGTAAATTCTCTTATTGTTACATGACTCTAAATAGCTATTTTAGATTCCGTGCTTGGGTAGTGGCAACATATATGTTAAGAGGTGGACTTCGGTCTGTGTGTGTTTTGCCTCTTACAATTGGGATGTTTAGACTTAGTAGCAGACAAAGAGTTTCTGCAGGTCAGTAGACGGTGTGCTGGCACAAGTGAGGTGGCCTGATGGCCAGCGTGTTTGTGTTCTAGGGAGATCTCTCCAGCAGGTGTGGAAGGGTTCTAAGATGCAGACGGGCATGCAGAGACAGGAAGGAGTATGGGTGCAATCGGGCAGAGTCACACCGAGAGAATTCAGTCAGTCTCAGAAAGAAAGGCATCGGGTTTCTCTCGTCCAGGTCATTTGGTTCAGATGGCGTGATGCAGAAGTGAAATTATGTAGGGGGAGGGGTTGGGAACTCATGGGGGGAGGTGGAGGGGAGGGCAGCTGGGGGTGGGGAGGGTATTCCAGATACATTGTGCACTTCCACAGAAACAGGCTTGTGGAACCCAGCACAATAAAAAGTTTAGACGTGGGAAGGAATTCAGATCAGCAGAGAAGAGAGTTGATCTAGAAAAAAAAGAAAAGTCCTCCTTTCCTTTGTCCCTCGGCTGTGAGGAGCCTCTTTCCAGTAACATTCCTGTGACTCTCAGTTCTTCCAGCGAGCTGCCAAAGACGAACTGTGTCGTCAGAATAACTTGTATGTCCAGCCATATGCCTGCTACGAACTTGGCTGTCTTCTTCTAGACAGACCGGAGGTAAGAGTTCTTCCCGAGCTGGGTGGCCTTCGGCAGGCAGAGTGTGCACAGGGCCGCACTGAGGTTAGGCTGGACCTCCTGTTCCTTTTGCTGTGCTTGATCTCCTGGGTGAGTCCAGGAAACTGACGCCTCTTTTTAAAGAGACAACGATGGCCACACTGGACTTTTAATTATAGCTGCCACTTTCCATACAAAGCTTCCTTTGTGGGAAAAAGCATCGTCATTTTTGGAATAGTGTGATATTGTGTAGTAGACTGGGCTGGAAGCCGGGCCATGATGCCATGTGTTTTGATGTGTGCCACTGGCTAAGTTAGCAAGGCCCAAATCCACTTCCCAATCTGCACAATGGGATAAAAGAAAAGCAGCTTACTGATTTAATAAGAATTATGGTGAGAATAAATAATACAACACGAGATTCCTTTAAACTATTACAACTATTTAAACTACAAGTGTGAGGACCTGAGTTGGAATCTCGAGAACCATATAAACACAGGTGTGGCAGCACGTGTCTGTAAGCCCAGCGCCAAGGGAGGGGAGGCAGAGCCTGGGAGCTGCCTGGCCTCCAAGTCAAAGGCCACTGAGAGAAACTGTCTCAAACAAAGGATGGAAGGACACCAGAGGACACCCAGGTTATCCGCTGACCTCTGCAAGCTGTGCAGAGAATCCCCCCAAACACACACACACACACACAAAGATGTGTGATTTAGCACAATTTGTTGTTGTTGTTATAATGAGATTTCACTAGTGCCTGAAAACAATGACTCAGATTCTCTGATTGAGTCATTTTACCAAAACAGGAAAAAAATCTCTCACATATTTGGATTGGAACTTGAAGCATCACACCGTTTATCGTAAGGGAATGTTTACTCCTCAGGTCTCGGGTTCTCCATTGTAGATTTTCGGACACTGATGTTAAGTGTTTTTCTTATGTCCACAGACTGTAGGAAGAGGCAGAACTCTTCTCCTTCAGGCAAAGGTAAAGAGCCCCATCCATCTGCCTCCTCGTGGCTGCTGTCACCTGGGTCTGAATTCAGGAAAATTTGCAAGGGTTGTTACACATGTTCGTAATTCTGGAGAGAGGTAGCCAAGCAAGTCAGTGAGCGCGTGGTTTTGAAGGGGGACCTCCCAGATGACGAGAAACTATTCTAGAATCACCCAGCGCCTGTGTTGGTATTTTGATGGGGAAAATAAACTTTCATTACCATGGATTTTAAGTAGGCAGTGCTGGGTTTCCAGATCAGTATTGCACTCCCGGGACCCAGCGAGTTTCTCCTGCCTCCGACTCCTGCCTAGATGGGGCTGCAGACTTAGGCCACCATCCTCGGCTCCAGGAACAAGCAACTTCTGATTTCATACTTATGTTTTTAAAATGTTTGTTCTTGTTATTTTATATATTTTGCCTGAGTACGTGCACCGCATACGTACCTGCTGCCCTCAAAGGGCAGAAGGAGGTGTCAGATGCCTGGAGTTAAGGATGGCTGAAGGTGCCATGTGGGTGCTGGGAACTGAACCTGGGTCCTCTGGAAGAGCAAGCAGTGTTTCTAAGTGCTGAGCTGTCTCTTTAGCCCCTCCTGTGGTTTTAAATAATTTCTCAACAGTAGCTTGCTTTGAGCCCAACTTAAGACTAGTATTTCAAGAAAACTTTGGGAAGTTTTCCAAAGAGAGTTTGTAATCCTCCAGCCTTTATCCTCCCAGGTGCTGGGATTACGGGCGAATGCCAACGCGCCTTTCCAGCAGCTTTCAGCACCCTGCATGAGTGTTGGGGAGTAAGAATATTGGAGGTTAGGGAATTATCCTATGGCTGTAGAAGGTCGTGTGTGTTACCCTGATGACGTGTGCACCTGTGGTACCGTGAGAGGGTGCGCGCGCCTGCTGTACCCTGGGGACAAGCTTGCCTAACAGTCCCCAATCACCTCTGTCTGGTCCTTCCAGGAGGATTTTTCTGGCTACGACTTTGAGAACAGATTGCACGTCCGCACCCATGCTGCTCTGGCCTCCCTGAGGGAACTGGTCCCTCAGTGAGAAACTCCGAGTGACCCCTCTGTCCCCTCCACCCCGGGTCAGCAGTGTGAAAGCAGAGGAGAAAGCTCTTTTGAAGACCAGCTTTTCTTCTGGAGGTCACCTGGGGTTTCCTGGTGTCGCTGACAAATTAAAGATCCCTCTCCCAAACATGTAGCTGCGGAATAATAAAGACGTCCACAATGACAAAAGTAACCGACCCGGGAGATGGTTAAGTGACCTTGTTCAAACATTTTAGTTTTGTGATTTATTATTTTTAAAATAAAATCAAGCGAAATATTCACCCTGTGGTTTGTAGACGTGCCTGCATTAAGCACAGGTCAGAACGGCTCAGTGGAGCCATATCCAGACAATTGTGAAGAGTACCGCACATGGCATGTCTCTTGTGTTTAGATCCAAATTAAAGAGATTTCTAGTGTTTAACTTGATCCTGGAAATATTCCTATGACAAATGTGGCACAAACAATCTTGGCGGGACAAGGTGGTACATGCTTTTAGCCCCGCCCAGCAGGCAGGAGGCGAGGCAAGCAGGATGAAAAAAAAAATCTTATCCCTGTTTTATGTACAGTGAGACTCAGGTACGACAAGGGCAACTTCCTGCAGTTAATTACCCGTGTTTCATGGAGCAATGAAAAGAACGCAGACCTCAGGACCGTGAAACGAATTCTCTTTTTATATAAAACATGTTTAAAAACTCGGCGCTCTATGCTTGACTGACTAAAGATAAAGTACTATGCAGCTCAGTTGCGTCATTAGTATTCATCCTCAGAGGCTGGGAGGTGGCTCAGGCAGTAAGCCACCCGAGCACGGACCCGAGTCCCCGTCCCCAGTACCCAAGTGAAAACAAAAGTAGCTAGGAGTGCCGCAGCACAGCTGTTATCTTGGTGCCTGGGAAGCAGAGGCCGGAGGCTCCCTTCAGCTCCTCACTGCCAAGCTGGCTGAAACGGCTAGCGTCAGGTTGAGCGAGAGACCCTGCCTCAACAAGATAACGAGAAGGATGACTGAGGAAGCCCTGACCTTGACCTCTCGCCTCTGCATGCACGCACACGAATGCACCCCCTACACACACATTCATCCTAGATTGTCTGCAAAAGCTCTCAAAACAGAGGCAACAGAACAGGAGCAGAGAGAAGATATGTTCACAGTCAGAAGCATGTCCCTGCTACCAGTCTGCTGCTGGCTATGTAGTACCTATATTTTAGGAGTTCTGTTGTGAAAATTATCTGATGAGCAGCGTTTAGAAACTCTTTAACACAGTCCTCCACCTGTGTGTCTGGACCTCTTTGGGAGTGGAATGACCCTTTCACAGGGGGATGCACAAAGGACATCCTACCTATCAGATACTTACATTCTGGTTCATAATAGGAGCAAAATTACAGTTATAAAGTAGCAGTGAAATTTATGGTTGGGGTCAACACAACCTGAAGAACCGTCTTAAAGGGTGCAGCATGAGGAAAGCCGAGAACGACTGCTCTCACAAAGGTGGTTGTGAGAGTTTAGGTTTGTAGCTGAGAATATTTGGTGGTGAATATTTGGTTGTATGTTGCCAGGATTTAACCACTCCCATCTTTCCTCAGGTTACTGACTCTTTTTATAAAAAGAATGCAGTTGTGTTGCATTAAATTAAATGCAGTAAATTCATTGTTAGAATTTACTGTTTGGTTTTCTCTCTGCACAGCTGTGGTTTTGGATAAATACCTTGGTCACTTTAAGAATCTTTGCCGCTTTAAGAATCTTTGCCACAATTTGGTTTGGGCATCTTTAGGTTTCTAAGTTTTCACTGGACTCAAGACTTTCATTTACCTATCCTACTCTGAGTCATAAGCTCGTGTAATATCAACATTTTAGAAGTAAAAACAGGAACAAATCAGCTACAATATTGTCATTTTATCTTATTTAATCTGATATGAAAGGCCGGGGAGTCCTAATCTGGCATTGAAGGGTGGGGTGTTAGTTAGGGGTAGGGTACTTACACTGAAGGCTTGGGTTCTGTAAGCCCTAAAAATTTTCAGCCTTGTTTTGAGGACGCAGTATCTTTGTTTGAAGTTCTTCCTCAGTGTATCCACCATCATTATCTATCCCACAGCTTGTGTCAGCCACTTGTGATTAGACTATTGCCAAGGTATTCACACTGATTTCCTGATGTGGATCTTGTATGGAGTTAAGATATTATTTTATTTTGCTTTTGATTTTCAAGACAGGGTTTCTTTGTGTGACAGAGTCGTGGCTATCCTGGACTCACTTTGGATGGAGCCTTTGATGAGAGGGTGGATACACTGTGTATGCTAAACACGTTTTTATGGTTGGCAGACTTAGAGGGCTGGTCTAGTGAGGACACTGCCATATGTGCTCTTCTGGCTGATGTAGAAAGCTTTTTATCTTTATGGAGTTAGGTATCTTTATTTTAATGGATGGTAGATAAGTCTTCTGGGTAAAAAAATAAAACTTTCAGATGTCACAGAATAGAATATTGTCAGAGATTTATAAATCAATTAATTCACACACACACACACACACACACACTGCTGTAGCTGATTTCTTTCTTAAGCAAATCACAGTGGCAGGCATTCAGATTTGGCCTTTTGTCTATGAAGACACATTTGTGCCATTGTGGTTTTCAGTCTTGCTTACTTGGGTGGAAGTAAAACAGCTCTCCCCACAAAGACGGTAAGGTTCCTTTGAACCACATATGAGTGACCACCCCAGAAACATGAGCTCAGGATTACAGGGAGTGACGTATGTCACCATGGAAGTGGCTACAGAAACTTTCATAGTCATAAAACAGAGCCCAGCTACAAATCAATGCGTTTGCTGGACACTGGTGGGGCCATCAGGTAAGTATTCCAGAGCGGTGGGATGCCGTAGGCTTCAGATGCGGATGGCAGAGTTAGCATCTGTGTCGCTCAAGCTCTGTGGCTGCTTTAATCCATTCCCAAAGGTTTCCCCCTCACCCAGGCGGATGTTAGGTCCCTCAGAGGAGGGCAACAAAGAACTGGGAAGATGGCTGAGAGTAGCCGAAGATAATTTTGGCCTTTGGTTTGTACTGGAGTACAGTCATGGAGTTGTCATCAGTGAGTCTGCAGTCATCAGCACAGAGCTCTCCAAGGAACTGGTCCGTAAAGGAAAGCTTGGGCCCAGATCACTGCAAGAAAACGCGGCAGAGCTAGGGTTGGGAGGTACAGAAAGAATGGGATCAGGGTAGAAAGCGGTTCAGAGCGGCCCTATAATGTGTGAGAGAACAATAGAGTGCAGTGCCCAGCGGGAGGCCGGGCTCCTTCTGGCTGGCTTGGGTTTGCTATGGGGCTTGATCGTAAATTAAGGAGGGGAGAAAGCTTCACGGTTGCTGCCAGTCAACAACAAGCTTCTCAAGAGGAGAAGGCCTGTGCTATACTTAATGACCCCCGTTCTCTGTAAAGGTGACTCAAGAAGGGGTTGCGGGGAAAGGAGGCAGCGAGGGCAGGACAGCCAGCTGTTGTTAATGTGGCTCTCCTCCTCTGCCCCAAACAGCAGTGTTTCTTTTTGCTCCCTCGAGACAGGGTCTCCTGTTATCACAAGCTGACTGGAACTCCTGGTCTCCTGCCTCGACCTCCTAGAGCTGGGATCACGGCTCCGCACCTCCGGCCCTGCCCTCTGAGGTGCTGAGGACTGAGTGCAGGGCCCCGCGAAAGTCACGACCTCCCCGGGCCCGAGCTGCACCCGCACTACAGCCACTGCTCCAGCGATCAACCACGGAACGGAAGCTCTGGCGGTCGAAAACGTCAGTTCCTCTGGCAAAAGACGTAAAGCTCCGGCGTCTGGCTCATTCCATCCCGACCTTTGTCCTCACGGGTTCCCCATTGGCTGGGTCGGCGAGGCCCCGTCCTTTTCACCGGGGGGCCCCGCGAGGGGCGGGGCTCTGTGACGCACGCGTGACGCACGCGGGGGTATAAATAGTCAGCGGGCGGCGGGCTCTCCCACAGGAGCCGCCAGCGAGGGGGCAAAGAGGAAGCTCTATCGAAGCCGGAGAGAAGGTGGGCCTCGCCTGGCAGACCCGCGCCGGCTGAGCCCCGGAAGGCTGCGGCCGCTCGGATAGGGAGACGGTGGTCGGGCGAGAGTCTCGCGTCCTCTGCCGAGCGTGGCCCGAAAGGTGCCGTCGATGGCCCCGTAGACCCCGTTTGCGTCCGCGAGCAGAGAGCCGCAGCGTCCCACCCGGGTGGTGGCAGAGGGGCACGGTCCAGAGCGCGTGCCTTTCTGGAAAGCTCGCGCTCGGGCAGGTCCTTGAGGACCTGAGAGCGGCTGAGCTCTCACGTTTGAACAGCCCGTTGTCGGCTGGCTTGGTGACTGGGGGCCCTCCTCGTGCCACAGCACCGCCGCCACCACCGTGTCTCAGGCAGGAACATTGCTAGGGACGGTCAGCACACCCGCTTTCGAGAGTTCCTGAAGGGGACGCTGGCAGCATCCTGCAGGACAAGCGCGCGCGCACTGGCATTGCAGAGCGCGGGCATTTAGCGTGTGGGTGTGGCAAAGCTGCCTCCTCCCCGCCCCCCGAAAAGATGGCTCCTCCCCGCCCCCCGAAAAGATGGCTTAAGAGTAAGGGATCAAACGTTTAGTTATAGTCTCAAAGGGTTTCCTTGGGTCGATGTTTATTTATTTTGGCCTGGCCTTTGGTAAAAAAAAAGTCAAAGGTGCTTTTTAAATAACGTCTTGCAGTGGCATACTGTGTTTTTATTAGAAGCTGGCCCCATGTAACCTGGAATGGTATCAGGGATTATCACAGCCGTCTGCTCTCTGGACCCATGAGAGGCATTCTTATAGTGGTGTCTAGAACAACAGCCGATTAAAAAAAAAAAAAATCTCGAAGTTGGACTCTTTTAAGTACCTGTTTCCTATATGGTATCTGCTTGGTAGCTCAGGACCCAGTTTAATACCCATATTGAGTAAAGTGAAAGACTGGCGGCTCTGCAATTTCACCCTTATGAAAGAGGTGAGACTTTCTACCTATCGGCAAGCTTCCTAGTGTTTCAGAGTGAACACACAGACTTCAGGGCTGACAAACTCCGCACCCATGAGAACTGTAGATCTAGGTGTGTCCATCTTGCAGCCAGTGTCCAGGGGTAGCTATGAATGCAATGTTTGTGGATAATATGACCCAATGACAAAAGCTGGGACGCCGCCTAGGAGATTATCTAATACTAAGGGTACCGCTTAAAAGTCAGCAGTGGCCCAAACCTTTAATCCCAGCACCAAGGAGGCAGCAGCAGGTGAATAGCTGCGAGTTCGAGGCCAGCCTAGTCAACAGAGAGT